AAAAAAAAAAGATAATATTGATGTTAAAATAAATAACTTGAAATAATTGTTTATAATTATGCAATTTATATTTATTGTGAATTATTATTAGTTGGTATTAACATTAATTATTATATAATATAATAAAAAAATATATGATTACACTCAATAGGATGTATTAACGTGAGAAGTAAAAAAACATTAATGATAAATTTTGTAACTGAAAATGGAGGGAAAATTTTAGAAGTTTTTATTAAATAGGTTTTCTTAAATGCTATTAGTTAGTAATTATATATATATATATATATATATATATATATATAGATTGCTCACATGCAGACTAGTACATTCGACACTATAATAAAAATACAAATTAAAACAAAACTTACTTATCTCCCACAGTAGAGAATTAATTCTCACTTGGAAATTTACCGTTTATGAAAGGTTTTCTACCAACAACCAATAATTTGATAAATCAACTTGGTTAGATGCAAATAGAAGATGATCGATGGCAAATGTACTAGAATCTCGATTTGGATAAATAATAAGATGAAAAGCCAAAAGCAAGAATAAAAAAGACACAGAAAAAAGCAAGAGGCCGATTCGAGTAAATATTTTTTTAATATATATAATAAACTACAAAACAAATCAACTAAAGCAAGATCCGTGATTGAATTAAGATAAAAGATAGCCCAATTAAAAGCTAACAGGGTTTATAATAATAATAATAATAATAATAATAAATAAATAAAAGTTGAATCGAAAAAAGAATGTTGTAAAGAAAACGAGGTTCAACCATAAACGGATAATTGTTTGCCGGCGCCATTTGGATGACCAAGCTTATCAAGGATAAGAGTTTGTTAATTTTGCGATGAATGGATTAGATTAAACCGTTACAACAGTATTTATAAAGGGACGGACAGAAATAAGTTTGTGGAAACAAATATTTGCTCAAAAAATCAAGTATGTAATAAATTTTTAAAAGTCGGCAGTTATTTATCTTCATGCATCTCCTATGGATCAGATTTATAAAAAAGAATATCTAGATTTATAAAAAAGAATATCTTCATGCATCTCCTATGGATCAGATTTATAAAAAAGAATTAGTAAAATCGGTAGTATCTACAATATTAAGGTATAGTGGATAATTATATGATATATGAAGTATCTAGATTTATAAAAAAAAATTAGTAAAATCGGTAGTATCTACAATATTAAGGTATAGAGGATAATTATATGATATATGTAGTATCTACAATATTTAAGAAATTTGATCTTTAATTGCGACTGAATCTAGCTTTTATTTTAAAATCTGGATAAGCAAAAATAAAATTAAAAAGAAAAATTCGGAGTAAAGTACTAAATATTTTTTTAAATTGGAAATGTATACAAGCTTAAATATTAAGTTTATTTTTATATAAAATAGTGAATCAGTGATTGACGGTAGGAATATGAGGATGCATGAATATTTTCTTTTGTAAACGTGTAGTGCTATATTTTTTTAATTTTTTTTTATTGTATGGATAAGATTGAGGACAAAAATATAACAAATGAATATTCAGGATCCAATCAAATTGGCCGATGATAAGCTGGTTAAAAAATTGAATAACATTCAGAGAGCTACACCGTGTTGTAATGTGCTTCTGGAGGATATCTTCTTTGTACTTAATTTTCTCTTCTGTTTCTTTTTTTCGTCCTTCTGCAACATAACTGAACCAAAAAAGCCAAAACCCTGTACACCTACTAAAATAAGAGAAAGAAAAACAAATACTAGAGGAGATATGTAGTAAGCTGAATATATAAATTTATATAAATTTATATGTACTAAAACTCTGAGGCTATATAAATTTATTTGTCGTTGGANAAAAAAAAAAAAATCAGAATCAATTTTGATATGTCACACGTCACGCCCAAATACATGTTATAGTTTACGTTAGATACTAAAATTTGTCCAAATAGCTGTAAGTTTTGGGTATATAGATGCCAGTTGTAAAATCATTTTTAAATATTATGTAGCAAGTGTTATAGAGATTGCTCATTATTCTATGGTTCATTGCATCACATATAAGTTCCAAAATTGAACAGATTAATTAATAGGTGTGATATATATGTGAACTATATATAGCAATGACTAATGTATGGTTTGATTAAATTGGTGTACATATATAATACTAGCTTCTATTCTTTTTAAATGTCATTTTGACTTTATTAACTATCATCTAAATAAATGTCGTTTTGGATCTTTTGTACATATTTTTCCATTATTATCCTCATTTAGCTAATAAATACACTACGTCTTTTCATATTCACTCTTTATTTTTTCTCAAAACATCATTCTCTATCTTCATTAAGGAGGGTTATTATTAACAAAAAGAATATCCTTAATTACTGTGCAACTTCTTAAAACAACACTTATTATGAATAGGAGAGAAAATGTCATAATTTAATGTATCTGAATTTTATATCTATTGGTATGAAATGTACTTAATTTCACTTGATGAGTAAAATATATATATATATATATATTGATATACCATGAGTATATAGCAATTTACGAAACATAAGTAGTTATAAACTGCCTAAGTATAAAACAGATCAAGCTATTATATTTTTAAATAGAGATATAAATTTATATTGTAAAATATTATTTTTTTGTAAATATTATTTAGTGTAATATAGTTTTTTATGCACATTTATTAAAAATACTATTTTCTAACCGTTAAGTATCAAATTTACCGTTTCTGAAAGGCTTTCTACCAACTACAAATAATTTGATAAATCAACCTGGTTAGGTGCAAAGAGAAGATGGCAAATGAAGAATCTCGATTTGGACAATATAAGATGAAAAGAAAAGCAAGAATAAAAAAGACACTGAAAAAGTAAAGAGTATTCGAGTAAATATTTGTTTAATATACTAAACTACAAAACAAATCAACTAAAGCAAGATCTGTGATTGAATTAAGATAAAAGATATCCCAATCATTTCATTTGCCATTTGATCCTGTTCATCTTAAAAAAATTATTTCTTCTTGACAAAAATTGGGGAAAATTGGTGCTGGCCTACTATCATGAAGGACATCATGAAAGAAGAAAAAAGCCCATATGAAGCCCAAATGGGGTTTCATCCCAAAACCAATTGGTGGAAGGAGAGTAGTTCATTAGTCTTATAAGGTGAGTCTATTTTCCATATATGAACGATGTGGGACAACTCACAAGTGATATTCTAACACTTATATTTGTGGAGTTTGACCATTGAATAAAAAAAGTCTATTTAGATGAAGAGCTACCAAACTTCATATTACTGCATGAAATCTTTTATTTCGTCACGTAATTCTTAGAATAATAATTATTATATAACCCAACCTCCTGGAAGAGAGAAAGTAAACTTGGTTTATATAGAGAGAATATAGTAATATATTGCATGATTTCCCCCAAATATATATTTTCAAATCACAAAGTTCACAATTTCTTGGTCTACATCTACATAGGTTAACCATTTTATCAAAAAGGTAAAAGGTATAGTTTTATACATGATAAGATCTATTTCTCAGGATTTGAAGACTTTCAGGGAAGAACTATAATTAAGTCCATTTTAAAATAATGGCAATATGGGACAAACATGTACAGTTTTGCTATGGAGCATCGGATGGCTCGGACAAACATGTACATATACAGTTTTGATACTAACGGTAAAAGATATTATTTAAAGCCTTTCATCTTATTCTGTTTTGTTAACATGTCATTTTGAAAACCATCCGATGGCTCCATAGAATTTTTGCAAACATGTATTAGGTGTGTTTTGTTTATCAATTATTTCAACTCATACTTAATTCATACTCAAAATTTAAATCAAGTTTAATTCAACCCCGCTATCCTCAATATTATCAATATAATTCAATAAGATCAACCAATCATTTTTACATGTCACATCAATTTTAATCCACTATTTATCCGCTCACATAATTTTAACTAATCATCACTTCTTATTATCTGTCTCATACTTTTACATCAAATTAAATTTAATCATTTTATTTTAAATACTATTTTAATATAAACTCAAAATCCCATTAACAACTAACTATACCAACTTTTTCAAAATTAACCATGGTTAACAAAAAACTCGTTTTGAGCGGATATATTTGTATCCAAACACGCCATAATTGAACAGATTTTTTCGCACTCGGGGGCATTTTTTTAACAATTTAGAGCTGTCAAATGAAACAACCCTAAAGCTATTCCGAGTTCAAACTCGTTTGGTAAAAGAGCCAAGCCAAGTTGGCTTGCTAATGCTCGAAAAATCGAAATATGGGTTTTTATGTAATATTTTGAATTTGACTTTTAGCTCTGCTAGTTAATATTGATAATGAATCGAGTTCGATAAAGGCTCGAGCATGTGCATAAGTACAGAAGCTAGAGCTCAGCTTGGCTCATTCACACATCTACTCTTGTACTCAACACTCGTAACAAATGTCTAATAAGTTAAGTGGCCTCTATAATTCTTCAATTCAAGAGCCCATACTATTACTAATAAGCAGATACAAATCTGTGAGAAGGTCCAAGTCAGTTTTGGACAAAACCGAGCAGCCCAGTCCGTCATCGAATATTGTTTTAGCATGAGAAAACAAGCACTAACAAATGGAATTAGAATTATCACGATGATCATCATCATATGAGAATTATTACCACTCACTAATGGAATTGCAAGTTTTATCAAGTTTGCCTTCGCAAGAACACACAATCTTCCAGTAAATAACCAATCAACTACAAGACCACATTTCTATCACAAATTTTGAATCAAAAAGTGGTGGAAATCTTCAATTTATTATTTCAATGTACCCCAAGAATTCGAGTTCTCCAAAATATAGAGCTTGTAAAGTTCTTATTCAGCAGAAAACAAATGTAATTCTACAAATAATAGGAATAATCAGTGGGAAGTGAACATAAATAAATATATATAAATTGAAAAGTGACCAATAATTGCAGTACAATATGATTAATAAAAAATTTAACACAGCCAGAAGATTCTCCCAACGCCCGGGACTTAACTGGGCATAATATGTATTTTGGGGATTAAATTTAACTCACAGTTTGCTTCCTCAGTCAGCTCTCGACTGGCCAGCTCGTGAAGACAGAATGATTCCAACAATAAGACCATAGAGCGCCAAAGCTTCAGCAAAAATGAGAATAAGGATCATCCCAACAAATAGCTTTGGCTGCTGTGCATTAGCCCTGTAAAGAAAAATCATAAGATGTAAAAACCAAAGAAGATGAAAAACAAAGGAACTTTGGATGAGTTTTAATTTTTAATCTGTATAAGTTGGATGAATATCGAAATCTCTACCGTTAAAGAAAGAGAAAATTGGTGATGTTTACAGGTTTTGATGAAAAGATCCTACATCGACTCAAACAGTAGCTTGAACTAGAACACATATAATAAAAGCAAGTAAAAATAATTCAATTTACTTCCCAAACTAAGCAAGTTGATTAGGCCTACATCTAAAATATAAAGAATGATGGAAATAATCGTAGGAGATAATTGTTTACCAGCACTGCACATCTTTATACAACACACCAGTAGACCATAACTTATCAGCTAACTTAATGAAACTATTCCATTCAAAGGACTGAAAAGAATTCAGATCAAGCCTCTCACTACTAGATTACAGACTCATCTATAGTTAATTATCCAAATCAAGAATGAGGTAAGAAAAGTCACTTTGAAAAAATATTTTTTTATGTCGAGCCCTCGAAAATCTAAAAGTATCAACTACGTAAGCTAAGCCATGATGATGTCTTCTCAACAACAAAGACAAACACAGATCAATAATCCACCAAAATCCTCATTTAAGCACACCAAAACACATCCAAATTCCAAAGTGATTTTAACAGATTGTAATATCAAATACACTGGGAATATACTGGGTATGTTGTTGTTGTTGTTGTTGTTGTTGTTGTTGTTGTTGTAATATCAAATACACATCAGTTAAGTTCAATACCTAACACCCGCATCTCCCACAATCCCAATAGCCATTCCAGCAGCAAGCCCAGCAAGGCCACACGCGAGGCCAGAAGAGAGATGGGCATACCCATCAAAAAGGAAATAAGATTTAGCTTTAGGGTTAATTCCGGTGCTTATAATTACAGCAATAATCAAACCATAAATACCCAAAACACCAGCCATAACCACTGGTACAATCGACTTCATCACCAACTCTGGCCTCATCACCCCCATTGATGCCACACCAACACCACTCTTTGCTGTCCCATAAGCTGCTCCCATACCTTCATTACAAGGAAATCACATTCAGATGCAATGAAAATATTCTGTAAAACAGAATACATGTAATATTTTTCTGGTGTAACCAAACAGAGGATAAGGATATGAGATAGATACTGATGTTAAGCTTCATACATTTATAAGAACAGAAGATATAATCATCAAAATCGAAACCAAAAAGGAACCCAAATAAATAAATCCAGCAAATAAAAACCAAACCAGCCCGAGATATACGTATGAGAACAATTACAGTGAATGAATATAACAGATATAAAAGCTCAAAGCAAACTACAAGAAAATACTAAATACAGCAGGAATATATGGTAGGGGAAGAGATACCAAGCAACAAAACCAATTTGACCACAAACCAAGACATAGATAACAATTACTCAGCAAATTTAAATATTCTGTAAACAGAATATGAGATAGATACTGATGTTAAGCTTCATAAATTTACAAGAACATAACATATAATCATCAAAATCGAAACCAAAAAGGTGCCCAAATAAATAAATCTATCAAATACAATCTAATCCAGCTCGAGATATACATATGAGAACAATTACAGTGAATATAACAGATAAAAGAGCTCAAAGCAAACTACAAGAAAATACTAAATACAGCAGGAATATGGTAGGGTAAGATACCGAGCAACAAAACTAATTTTACCACAAAACAAGACAGAGAAAACAATTCTTCAGCAAATTTAAATATTCTGTAAACAGAATATGAGATAGATACTGATGTTAAGCTTCATACATTTACAAGAACAGAACATATAATCATCAAAATCGAAACCAAAAAGGTGCCCAAACAAATAAATCTATCAAATACAATCTAATCCAGCTCGAGATATACGTATGACAACAATTACAGTGAATATAACAAATAAAAAAAACTCAAAGCAGATTACAAGAAAATACTAAATACAGCAGGAATATATGGTAAGGTAAGAGGCACCGAGCAACAAAACCAATTTTACCAGAAAACATGCCAATAGATTAACAAGTATTCAACAAATTTAACAGCATCAATTTTGAGAAAAAAAAAAAATTGTGAACTAGACGATGAAATCGGAAAATCTACAGGAGAAGACGAGAGCGGCGGCGGCGCCAAGGAAGCCGAAAAACGGAGCAGTTTCATCGCCGCTGAACGTCGAAGACATGTTTCCGACCAAACTACTCGTTAATTCACAGATTGAACTTTTTTCGCCAGGGTTTGGGCAATTGGATTTTGGTGTAGAAAGAGCTAATGTTGTTATCGAACGAGACAAAGATCATCGCCTTCATCGCTAAACGCGTGTTGTTCATCTTGGCTGTTTTCCATTTTTTTTTTTTTAATGGAGCCCATTAAGCTAACGAGGCAACCCAAATAATCCCTATCCTATCGTTTCAAGATCCTGTTAGACCCAATTAGTCAATGCACCTCCATTGGGTTAGTTTCAAATAATCGATTCACAGCCCAAAAGTGATGGCTTGAAATTTAGAAAAAATTACCAAATTCTTAAATAGTTATTTTATATTTACGAGTTTATTTTTTAACTGCAAATATATTGACTTTCACTATATAGAAAAAAATTATTTCTAAATTAACTTATTTTTTAATTTATAACTCGTTTATATATGATTTTATATTAAACGAGTATTATTGCAAAAAAAATCTCCAGTAAATATATAAAAGAGCCTGGAATTTATCCTAATATATTCCATAATAAGTCTATATTGATCCTTAAAAATAAATTGTTTAATTAAAAAGATAACAATAATTGTATGTGTGCGTCTATATTGATCCTTAATTAGCATATTTGTTTGAAGTCCTCTATTGGAGTTACCATTATTTTTTAGTGCAGGCCAAATTCTACGCAATTTTACCTTTTTAGTAAATATACATATTTTCATATTTGAATGTCATACTGTAAAAAATAATTTAAATAAAAGTATAATATTTTCACTATGTAGTTATCCATTTGTGTTTAAAAAACAGGTACGTAACTATATAACTTGTGTTATTTTCTCCGTTTAGATCCTGAATTTAATAGTTTCATGAAATTGATAGTGTCTGCAGTATATGTACATATATATATTGGTAGTACTTGCATGGAATAATTCCTCTCATATCTATCAGTATATAAAAAGATAACCTTTTACAATTTTAGAAATGTTTTCCCACCAATACATTTAATGTAGCCTAAATATAGATTTTCAGACAATATTAATAAGGCAAAAAATCGCAGCTTAATTTGGATAGAATCTGTTTCCTTTATCCTGTTTTATAACTGACTAGTACAGAGCCCGTGCGATGCACGGGATGCACAATTTTAAGGCTATTTATCCAAGTTTATAATTATATACATGAATAAAGAAAAATGTACGGGATATATATAGTACGTGACCCGTGCGAAGCACGGGATATATTTATTTGGAGAATATTATATTATAAGATGCAATATTCAATAAAAGTTTATAATACGCAAGAAAATTGTACAAAAGACTTTAAGACTACACTTGAATATTATATTATAAGATGCAATATTCAATAAAAGTTTATAATACGCAAGAAAATTGTACAATGTTCAATAAAAGTTTTATAATATTCAAGTGTAGTCTTAAAGTCTTTTGTACATTAAGACGACAAAATAATATTTTAATCAATGAGTTTCCTTTCCATGTAGCCAAATTGTGAATGTGATTTGAGGAGTACAACAAATCGATATATAGCTGACTTGCTTTTTTCATTGTGTTTTTTTTATAATGAATTTAAATATATTCTAAAATATAGCAAAAATTAATTTTTTTATTACAATTAGGAATTTTATTAAATATAGACTCTCAATCTATGGTGTTAATCAACGTTTAAGTCTAAAAAACAATAGAGTTATTATAAGTTTTTTTCTACATCTTTTAAAACATTAAATATGACCATGTCAGGGCTAGCTTGTAAAATAATTAATATATTATCTCACTAAAACATTTAAACTAATAAAAATTTAATTTTAGCATATAAATTTATTCCTTGATATAAGAGAAAGTAACAGTTTTACTTATTGTTATTCACCATATAATATTTAATTATTATTTTATTGTATAATAAAAAAATATTATTAAATAGTGTAGTAAAATTGTTATAAAATTATATAATTTTTTTTTTACAATATAGATTTAATATTTTTTTATGATTTGATAATATAAACAAATCTATACTTAACTTTGACAAATAAAAAAAATAAATACTTTAGTAAGTATTTAATGTATATACTAAATAGAAATATATATGGTATAATCAAATACCAAATATAATCAAATAAGTCAAAGTGTACATTTCTATCAGTATATAAAAAGATAACCTTTTACAATTTTAGAAATGTTTTCCCACCAATACATTTAATGTAGCCTAAATATAGATTTTCGGACAATATTAATAAGGCAAAAAATCGCAGCTTAATTTGGATAGAATCTGTTTCCTTTATCCTGTTTTATAACTGATTTTTTTATCGCGAGCCTTTAATAACCTCCGGTGAATTTATAATTATATAGATATGCACATGTACTGTTTGTTACATCTAAACTTCCTATTATGAAATAATTTGTTCATTTCAAAATTCAATATCATTAATTAATATGAACTATGCACGTGTAAGATTAGCAGAGTCTATACCATAAATTATGATAATTTCCCTCAAAGCTCGGTGCTTTTTTTAAAAAAAAAAATCGATTTCCTTAATACAAAGCGCCTTCTCTCGATATGTATAAATTGAGTGGTTGAATATTTGGAAAGAATTCTATGTTGCATGGAACTCGAATAATACAAATGTTATACAAATCAAATTGATCTTTTATTTTTTTACCTACCCAAAATAAAATCCATAAATCTGCAACAATAAATCCAATATGCTTTTGGTTTAAATTTAAACTTTCTGTTCAAAATACATTAAATTCGATTGTTCTCTTAATTCACGATTGGAAAAATAATTCGCTTGCAACAATAAATCCGATAAGCTTTTGTTTTAAACAATCTGTTAAAATCGTTTAAAATCTCCACAAAATATCATATTATGTATTATGCTTTTTAATATTGTTTGTTATCAGTCACAAAAAAGATCTGTGTAAATCAAATTCAAATTTTGATCGGCTGTTGATTCAATGACCATAAATTTGGATTTCTATTAGGAATGAAATTGTTAATTTACAAATACAACATACAAAAAAATAATATTAATAATAATAATAATTTGGCTTTTGGTTCCATACACTATTAAAGATCGGAGTGTACAAATATATACTTTTTATACATGTGATACTATTTTAGATGTCTTTAATATATATATATATATATATATATATATATATATATAAAGAGAATAAGATTTATCACATATTTCTCCTCCAAGAATATTAAATACACACAATAAAAAGTTAATATAAAAAAGTGCAGATTTAGATATTGTCTTCAATTTTTGTCTTATTATCACTTATACATAAAATCTCTTATTTGTTACAGTTTACATTAATTTGTATTTGTAAAATTAATAAATTTGCATAAAGCGTGTAATTGTTATGCGTACAAAATTTCTCGGTATCATGTCATTATTTATTTTATATATAAGTGGCAAATTTTTTCGGTATCATGCCAATATTTATTTCATATATAAGTGGCAAATTTTCTCTCAAAAAACTTATAATGTTTTTTATTTAGGCTTATGATATTTTAGATACTTTTATATAATATTTTATCATGTCATATTATATGTATATATACACATACACACACACATACACACACACACACACACACACACACACACACATATATATATATTAAATTTAAATATTTTTAGACACGTTTTCTTTACAACAGAGTTTAGAAAACATCTTTCATACAAATGTAAAATTTAAATGTTTTTAAACATGTTTTCTTTCCAAAATAGTTTAAAAAAATTGTAGGTGACTCCACATCTTTTTATAATAATACATAAACTTTTACATGTTTTTAATATTTTAAACATGTAAACTTTATGTTCTTTTATATAAGTTAATTTTATATTGTTGATAATAAACTGATATACGACGGTAAATTATATCACATGTTAATCTCACATCATTAATTTATAATATTTTTTGCTCTTTTAAAATAGGATAATGGTTCCTCACTTCTTTCATTAGGTGACTCGAACTCGAGACCTATTTATAATTATTATTTAATATTATTTATTTGTTCATCGCACGGAATACGCACTAGTTCTGAGTTAATTGGACAATCTTTAAAAAAGTAGAAGTTAAAATTTATAAGTATCAAAACTATTATTTGTTTATTATTATTATTATCTTTTTCTGTTCTTTGTTCTGCCTTAAACGGTTAATTCATGAGTTATTGAGTTATATATAGTAAGATCATGAACTCTTGGATTGCATAATACATTTCATTTTCACTCCAAAATATATAACATTATTAAACAAATTAATAAATTGCACATGGCATCAAGCCAAATTAAAACAATCCACATTAACTATCCATTTTTCGCACTCACTCTTTCTTCCTTCTCTTGAAACATGAAAAAGGAAACAATTAAAAAAGAATATAACTAAAGCTTCATGAAGCATTTTATTTCAACAACATTAAAACAATTGATAACTTGTCGGTTCCAAACGATTCATATAAAAACGCCGTAAATATAACTGGAGAAAAAAAGCTCATCATGGTTGAGGAATAGAAGGTGGGAGTGGCGGGAAATAATATCCGAATTTGGGGTGGTGATAGTCTTTTTTAGGAACTTTTGGGAATGGAGGGCAAGGCTTCTTGTAAAACGGCGGGTGTGGAAATAGTGGAATCGGTGGTGGCAATGGCTTGATCACGATCGGTGGCTTATAAACTGGAGGCTTGGGCTTGTAAACTGGAGCCGGTGTAGGAAGTGGCTTGGGCTTGGGCTTGGGCTTGTAAACCGGAGCCGTTGGAGGAAGTGGCTTTGGCTTGGGCTTGGGCTTGTAAACCGGAGCCGTTGGAGGAAGTGGCTTTGGCTTGGGCTTGGGCTTGGGCTTGTAAACCGGTGGCTTCGGCTTGTAAATGGGGACGGTCGGAGGCTTTGGCTTGGAAATAGGGACGGTCGGCGGCTTGTAAATGGGGATCGACGGCTTGGGCTTGTAGAGGGGTGGGAAAGGAGGGACAAAGTTCTTGAGGGGTGGGAATTTAATTTTGGGAAATTTCTTCTTCCAAATGAAATGTGACTTGGAGAGAGGAGGGTGTTTGTGGTAGTGGGGCCACAAGAATTTGGAAGTGCACAATGCCGACGAGAACCGAAGGTTCTTAGCCGGGACAAAAGTCGAGCCTTTATCGGTTTTGGACTCGAAAGCAATTTTAGCGGCTTCTAGACCGTCGTGGGCAGGGCAAGGGATGGCGGCCGAGCTGTGGAGCTGCGCGTAACATTTGTCTCTGAGCTTTTGCCTGTTTTGAACAACAATGTCTTTCGGGAGTGAGACTCTGAATTGGCCTTGTTCATCTAGCTCGACTGCTTCGCCGACCCTTTTGATCTTGCCGGATTCGAGTTTGCAGTCAATGGTCACTCGAAGACCTATATATAGTAATTAAGTTCGAATTTTTGTAATTAGGTTAGATTCTTCATAATTTTGTGTTGTTCTATGGTAATCAAGTTTGATTTTTCGTAAAATGCATAAGAATGTCGTAAATATTTGTAAAAAAATGTGTTTTAGAAGTGTTTGATAGAAGATTCGACCTTACTGGTAACTGCATAGGTTGAAATATTTTCGTAATTTTATGTTGATATGTAGTAATTAGGTTTGAGTTTTCGTAACATGCACAACAAAAGGTAGTAAATAATCGTAAGAAACAAAAATGCATTCTAAACATGTGAGAGAAGATTCGATCTTACTGGTAACTGCAAAAGCTGAAGCACAATGCAACTAGTAAAATCTTTGTGTGTGTGATTTTACCTGAAAAGGCTTGGCTTGGATTAAACTTATTCTCCTTGCAATCAACACACTCTGCAGCCCCAACAACTTCAAATGTTTGGCCATTAGCATTGCAAATGCTAACAGCACAAAACAATAAGAGCAAGAAAAATGTTATAAGGGTATGAACCCTCATTGAGACCTATTGTTGGTCCTTATTTGATCAACCCAATTGATCAATTAAAGAAGATGAAATAAACTAAGCCAAAAATGAGTTCCTAATTGAAGAATTTGCTTGTGATCATTCTTGAAGTGAACTTGAAGCCTATATATATTGGTATACATAATAGTTGCACCGCCCTTAATTTAATGATGTCACATGTATAAGGTTCCTAAGAGCTACATACACAAATAATAGTATATAAAAATATAAGGAGAGGAATTTATTTGAAAGAAAAAAGAAATTAAAGAAAGTGATGTGGAACATGTTGAAAGACGAGTTTCGGGCTGCCGAGAAATATTTGAAGCGTGTTTATCGGCATAAATAAATAAAAAACGGATGTAACTTTTGTTTTATAAATAAATAATTCATCTTTTGTTTTATAATTTTATAATAGTTTCGTTTAGTACTTTACCCATATGTCCCGTGTTAGAAATTAGAATGCTAGTAATTTTAGATCCAAAAGTGCAGTCACATTTAGCTTATATATTTAATGAGGCTTCTGTATCCGTAAACTAACTTTCCCGACCCTCTCATAAATTAGACACCTTTCCAGAAAATATATAAAATTTTGAGGGGTATATATAAAGGCCTTTATTAGATTGACCACACATTTATTTATTTATTATCTATTTATTTTTACTACATCTCATTTTCTTATTGAGTTCTTAATTCGAACGGTTGTTACAGTTGGGAAGCAGAGAAAAGATGAGCATACAATATGTTATAAGTTTTCATTGAAATATCAACTTATTCACGTGACTTTAATTATGTATTTCAGCTAATAATTCTTTTGTATAATTGAAGCTAAAAACATCATTAGCATGTAATGTAGGGTTAACAGCCAACTTAAGTCACGTAGGTTTTTATAATTTACAAATGCAATTAAGGTGGAAAAACCAATGCTTTAGCACACCTAATTGATAAGTTTTTAAAAGAATTATAAACAATAAAGTTGAAGAAATAACAATAACTTGTTCGTAAAAGAACAATAATGTTTCCAACTAATTAATTGTGCTCTTCTTAAATGCTATTATTGATTAATAAAACTAATTTTGATAAAACTTAATGGTACTATTATTGATTAATAAAACTCATTTTGATAGAATTGTGAAAGCTCAAGCTCATCATTTTGAAGACTACGAAATTATTCTGCAATGGCGGCCATAAAATGAACCAATAATGGGTGCCCAATAATGTACGTATAAACGAAAGCGAAATCTGTAACACTACAATGGCTAAAAATGTAGGTATGAAACTAGTAGTTGTAACTAGTTTTAGTTAAAAAAATTAAATATATTTATAAAAAGAAAAAACTTGAAAAAGTAGAAGATTTTAAATTTACTCTTCTTACATTACAAAATTTTTTCCAACCTCATATGATTTAATGAGCTATAGTAAATTAATTGATCAATAATACATTTAATTTAAATTAATAAAGAATTTTAATTTTTTACAATATATTTATATATATATATATTTTATATATGCAGTATTGCTTTCAAATCCATCAATAGTCGATAACTAATTTAATATGTTTTAAATAAGAAATTAATAACAAATAAAAATCGTAAGTTTTAAAATATATTTGTAAATTAATTTAATCATTTTTTAAAGTATACTTTTAAAATTATAATAAACATAAATAAAATTTTAAGTCTATGTGGACTACTCATAAAAATTAACACATAAAAGTTACGAATCACCATAAATTTGAAGAATGAAAATTGACATTTAGTTACAATACTCTAACCAAATAATAATTAAAGTAAAATCACGGAAAATGTTTCTTTCATATAATTCAATTTAATTTAATCACTATATATGTCTTGCTGTCTCATTTTTAAAGTTATTATTATATTATTTTTTCATTTAACGTTTATTTTTAAGTACAATTTATTAAAGTGATGGGTTTACTTAGCCCAATGGGCTACGATCGATAAATCCCCTTATCTCAACGCAGCAAAACTTGGGATAAAAAGATTTTATATTTGGGCTTTATGACCCTATTTAAACTATATATGGGCCACTAGTAGTAAACTTTCAATAAAAAGGTATTTTCTTTGGGCTTTATGGGCCACTAGTTTGGGCTAATAGTCTGATGGCTGGAGTTTGACAACAAATAAACAGTGGGCCATAAAAAGATATCCGCTCTTTCTCTCTCGCGTTCTTCATCTGATCATCTCTTTCCAATTTCCATCTCCCTCGATTTTCTGGTTTTTTGTTCTTCGATCCAATAAAGCTTCAAAAATGACGGGAGGATAACAGAGCGTGGATCGATTCTTAATTTTAATTATATTTATCCATTTATCATTATTCATCTTCCATCTTTACCTCATTAATTGGGTAATTTCTTCTTGTGGCTATTGCTCGTTTGTGCTCGATTTGAGGATGGACGCAGAAATAATAGACTCCATTACTGCCAGAAAAGTTCAGAAAGCTGACCGTGAAAAATTGAGGAGGGACCGCCTGAATGAACAATTCATGGAGTTGGGGAACACGCTCGGTAAATTCTTCTCTGATTTGTACAGCGTTATACTATTTCATGCCATTGATTTTACTGAGGTTGAGGAGTACGGAGTCTCCGAAGTTAGCAATTTTAATGATCAAAAGTCAAGCTGTAAGAAATAGCCAATAGCTTCATCGCATCTTAGAATCTGGTCATGATGATTGCTTTTTGTGTTTTTAATGGGAATTCAAGGAGGAAAGAGAAGTTCGGGATTAGGTTAATGTGTTTGTGTGGACGTTCCAAGGTGCCTATAACCATGTATACAAATTGTTGACTGCGGCGAACGAACTAACTGTGAAATGTCATGCTTTTGTTTATGTTGTTTCTTAAAGGATGACATTTCATACTGAAATTAAGCATATTAATAGAAATAGTATGCCAGCCTAACATAAGACCTACTGAAGGCCTTGAGCTTCACTACATTTCTGTTCTCTCTCTCCAGAGTTGGTTTATCACCTATTAGCTGCCTATTCTTTTGAATGTCGTGGATTTTGAGTTAAACTGTGAATTTTCATCTGTGGTTTAGTTGGCTTGGTAGGTGGACATCGTAGAATTGATTTAAGAAACCGTGTTTGATATGCTTACTTGTATTGTTAAACGTCATGTTTTTGTTTATGTTGTTTCTTAAAGTATGACATTTTATAATGAAAGTAGGCATATGCCGGCCTAATGGTTAAGCCGGCCTAACATAAGACCTACCGGACAAGGTATAAGGGGCTTGAAGGCCTTGAGCTTCACTAAATTTTTGTTCCCTCTCTCCAGAGTTGGTTTATCGCCGATTATCTTTGGTTTATCACCGATTATCTGCTTATTCTTTTGAATACCGTGCTATTTTAGTTAAACTGTGAATTTTCATCTGTGGTTTAGTTGGCTTGGTAGGTGGAAATCATAGAATTATTTTAAGAAACCGTGTTTTGATTTGCTTGCAGATCCGGACAGACCAAAAAATGACAAAGCTTCCATTCTAACCGACACGATTCAAATGCTGAAGGACCTGACTTCTCAAGTGGACAGGCTAAAATCTGAATATGCAGCACTCACCGAAGAATCCTGTGAGGTGTAGTTTCAGAAAGAAAAAAAGAAATAAAAAAATAACTTCTCACTAGGTAAAAGATCGATTGTTATCAAGATTTCACCGTGTTCTNCAATGTACCCTTGGGCTGGAATGGATCACTCGGTTGTGATGCATCCACCCTCTTATCCATTTCCCATGCCTGTCCCCATGCCTGCTCCCATGCCTGCTCCCATGCCTGCTGGCCCAATCCCTTTGCACCCTTCTTTGCAGCCTTACCCGTTCTACGGGAACCAAAATCCGACCGTTGTTCATAATCCGTGCTCTACTTTTGTCCCGTACATGGCCCATAATGCCCTGATTGAACAGCACTCGACCCAGAATGTGTCTCAAACTGTGCCACAAAGTAACAACAAGTCCCATGGTTCGGGCAAACAGGACTCTAAGTATAAAACGTCTGATGTTGAGAGTAGAATAGAGAAAAGTGATGACTCAAATGACGTTACTACGGATCTAGAGCTTAAAACGCCTGGATCTACACCTGAACAGGTACGTAAAATTATCCACATACAATATTTTTTTCGAAAAAACAAAAAGAATGCAGAGGTTTTTTTTTTTCTCTGCACTCTTGGTAGCTTATAATACTTCATTGAAAATACACTATCATGTCCCGAAAAGTCAAATTCAATCATGATTAATATAAAATCACCTCAGTTATTATCAGTGTCATGGTTGCATTTCATTCTCATATTCGATACACTCATAGGACTCTCTTTTTTTCCTTCTTTTTTTTTTTCCTTCTGTTATCAATGTAGGATTAGAAGAGTATTTGTTTTGTCCTATAAACTATTAACTACTTATTCAATTGATGTTATTGGTGGTGCAGGATTCTTTGAAGCATAAGAAAGCCAAAAAAATCAAAGAAACTGTCACTACAGATGCAAGTTCTTCCATTGGGTGTTCCTCAGCTCAAAGTGTGCAGGCTATCTCGTCCAACAGTGTCGTTGGTGGCAAAAGAACTGACAGTTGACAAATGAAACGGGATGTTTGTTGTAAGCATTTACGGGATTTTATATTATGTTAAATATTCCTTTTCTTGCTTTCGTCATCGTTTCGTTTCACCATTTGCTATGCTTGCTGATATGTACTGCTTTAGCTCATTCCCCTGTTTAGCTCCCCTCATTTGTGTCTGGTCTGTGTGCAGAAAAGAAATATATGTTATTTTATGATGTCAATGTATGCTGTTATGGAGATATTACCATTATTCAATAATCGCAATTTTCTTTTTGGCGTATCTTTACGTATTTCATCACTTCTGTGACGTCCTGCGATTTTGTATTTTCCATGTTTGCCTAATAATGCTTTTCTGACTACTAATCTCTTACACCAGAAAGTTGGTAATTGAAGAATCAATTAAGGGGGAAAATGGTGCCTCAGTTCCCCCACATAGTTGAGTGAATTTGTAATCTGGAGCTCTTTTCTGAAGTTTAATTCTAACTTATATGCATATATGTGAAGATTTGCTTTAAGAATCAAGATCTTTAAATTTGATTCAGATTATAATTGTGATTGCTATTGGAATCAGCATCTTTGGGAAACTTCAATTCAAGAGCAAAGTAGATTGAAAGCCCACACTCAAAGCATATATTCTAAAAGCCAACATTTCTATATAAGTTTACAGACAATGCAAATCTCATAGCCAGGAAAAAAACAAGATAAAGAAAATGGATTGGATTCACGCCAAGAGAAGAGGTCCAGAATGGAAGCAAAGCTCGACAGATCAAAGGCTGTCTTCCATTTCTGCCCCTCCTCTCCCTTTACTGGTCATTTTCACCATTGTTATCTTCTTGCTCTCTCTCTCACAGTACAGTTCATACAAGGAGCAAACAAGCCATGCTTTTGTCGGTTTCAAGATTTTTCTTCTTCTAGTGCCCGTTTTGCTCGTCGTTTTAATGCAGTCGAGTCTACTTTCCGGCAAGGCGTGGCGGCTCGACTGGCGGTCTTCGTCACAGTCGACAGTTGGGGCGGCGGGTTTTCCATGGTGCATGGCAGTTTTGGTGGTGGTTGTTTTGCTGCTGGTGGCTTACCAGTCATCTTTTCAGTCCAAGTGGTTTGTTTCCTTTTGGAAGTTCTGATTAGAGATTAGTGATTAACAGATTAAGAGTGAAATATTGATGAAGCTAATGGCCAACTTCTTTCTTATCATATTATCTCTCTCTCTCTCTCTCTTTTTTTTTTTTGTNGCTTTTTTTTATATATAATATAATATGGATGTTCAAAATAATATCACAGGTATACGTAAAAATGTGGGCTATTTATTTGGTGCTGGGCTTTTCTTTTGTGGAAACTGAATCTTGTCTGGGATGAATTTGAGGCTAAAGTACACTACTGTAACTACTAAGAAAAAGGGAAATTTTGACCAGTGCATTTTTAGATAATTACAATATTAGCATCCATACCAATTATTGTGTATATATTTAAAAGATAAATATTAATTATAATCATGTCTAAAATCAGTTACAAGGTAAGTGGAACAACCTTTCATGTTCTTAGTGCGTAATTTCAGGACTCAAGATGGAAGGATATCATATTTGAATTTGAATTCATAATCTTCAGTGATACCGACGGAAAAACAGAAAAGAAAACGCCGGCGACACCCCGTATATTTTCGGAAACAGGCTCTTCATTAACAGAAAAAAAAACGTGGGATTGTCGATCGATCATCTTCAACAGACGCTCTTCATTAACAGGAAAAAAAAACGTGGGGTGTCATTTTTTTGACAGACGCTCAAGAACCAAAAAATACATGACAGGACAAAGATTTGGAAGTATATTTTGTGTTATTAACCTTCATTAAGTCTTCGTATATTTTGATTTTTTCATACTGATATCTTTAACGGCAGAATGTGAGATTACATCCTGACATTAAATCTTTAACGGCAGAATATACCGAAAATATACTGATAATATACTGTCGAACGTCTTCCTGTTAATGTCATGAGAAAATATACCGAAAATATACTGACAATATACCGAAAATTTTTAATCGACAGGTGTATGGAATGATTATATCTGTACATATACTTTACATCCTAACATAAACTGTACATATACCACAATACTAAAAAAATCTGGTTCATGTATGGAATGATTATATCTCCAAAATAATATGAACAACTTTGAGAATATACCGAAAATATACTGAATATAAACCCTGACTTTAAATCTTTAACAGCAGAATATACCGAAAATATACTGATAATATACCGAAATTTTTTAATTATTACATATTGTCGAACGTCTTCCTGTTAATGTTGCCGGTGGGCTTGCGATTAGGGTTAAGGTTGGTTTTTCTCTCAATAACGAGCTTCTTCTGAATGAGTTTAGGTTTTGATTTTGAAACGATCTTATGAAGTCGGGAACTTGACCTTATCTGTGGTGTTCCATCCCTTTCTTCTCCCGTTTTTTTCGAGGATCGCGTGCGATTTTTGTTTTCTCCATTGAAGGAGGTTTGGAAACTGAGGAAGTTTTTTTCTTTCTGAAGGAGATTTTTGTTTTCCGAGTATCGCGTGAGATGAGATGAACATGGGCAGCAGTTTTAGGTAATTGTCGTAAAATCTGTAACCCATTAATTATCTGATATAACTCCTTAATTAAGAGTTTAGGTATATTAGCAATATTTTAGGCTTATTGTAGTAATTACATAAATATTTATCTAAGGGTTTGTAAAATTATAATATAATAACTATGTTGAAGTATGGAGTGCAATTTTTCCTCTAAGAAAAATTTATGAATTTGAGGTTGAAGTATAAAACTGTCTTAACTAATAAAAAAAATTTCTATACTGTCTAACTAAAATTATGGAGTACATTGAATTCTAAAAACGTCAATTTTCATTGCACCGAGTAACGATGCTACTATGTATTAATGGTTTTGATGGATCAGTTTATTTTGTTAATTACATAATTATGCTATTACATATAATTTATATCGATTTTTTTCTTAAAAGAAATTACAAAACAGAGCGGGGGTGGGTCGCCCGGTCCAAAACGGGCAGGTCACCAGCCATTCCTGGGGGATTCGTTGCGGGTCATGGGCTCATGGGTCTGGTGAGAGCTTGCTGACTAGGTCCGGGCCCATTACCAATTTATCATCTTTCATTTCACACCATCTTTTATGTGGAGGCGACACGTGTCCAACCCGGCACCAATTTCCTACACACCTGCATTGTGCGGCTCCCAATGTAAATTTTCACCCGTCAATTTGAAAATTTTCTACACACACACACACACTACACTCTTTAAAAAAACTCCAAACGGAAGGAAAAAATATCTCTGGGACGTTTTGTTTACCCTCACACCGTCCCACTCTTCCCGTGAATTGTGTGCGCCAGCTAACACAATCACACACATATATATACACACACTAATATACACGCATATATACATACACACACCAGCATTTTTGTTGTCTGTTATGCGTGTGTGTACCAGCAAACATGGCTAGAGAACACAAAAAAACCCTATGTTTATGATTCATCCGTCGGCCGCTGATGCATGTTCGCGCTCTTGATTGTTTTTTGTGGAGAATTTTTTCGTCGGAGTAATCTCGTCGATTTTCTCTCTCGTTATTCTTTTTCCCGATTGCGTATAGTTATTTGATTAGCCTGTTCTTCCGCTGGACGCTGAACGCAGATTCGTACAATGTAAGTGTACAGAATGTGTTTCTTTGAATGATTTCATTTCGTGTTTTTCCTTGTTTCTCTCTATGGTTATTTGATTAGCCTGTTCTTCCGCCGGACGCCGAACGCAGATTCGTACAATGTAAGTGAACAGGATGTGTTTCTTTGAATGATTTCATTTCGTGTTTTTCCTTGCTTCTCTCGGTGGGACGTGTTTTGATACGCCGGCTGTGGTTGATTAATCTTCGTTATTCTGATTATGGCTTGTGTTGGAGGAAACTCTGCTTGATTGCTGTTCGTTTCGGGTGATGAATCTATAATGACGTTGATATTAGAATTTTTTTCATTAAGGATGTTTTTCGTATTTCGTGTTTCTGGTTTTTGTATGAGTGGAGATTTGTGGAAATGGAGAAGTCTGTAAAGTTCGTTTCCACGTAATTACTGTTCTATTGTTTCCTGGCGATTTGTTTGCACTTTGCAGAAGAAATAAATGGGTTATGGCGTGGTGATTGTACATTATATCTCTCTTAGTCTGTGGTTTATCAATTAGGGTTCTAAGATGATCTATAATCTTTTACTATGCTGTGTGTGTGTGTCT